CCGCCCCCGTCTTTTGGTCTTTGTTCAGCGGCAGTTCCACATCCACCACGTTCCAGCTATTGGCCCCACAGGCATCCTGCCCCACATACTCGGTCACGTTCTGGAAGGGCCTGGCCCGGAAGATACGCCCCCCGCCAGGGGTCAGTGCAGACCCTCACGCTTCTCGTCTGAGTGCCTCAACATGTAGGGACGTTCCCAAAGCACGAAGGGACTCAGGGTACGGTTATACATGGGATGGGTGGAGCGGAGCCAGGTCTCCTTATGCTGCAGGCTGTCAAGGCCCCTGGCAGGAATTACTTCCTCAGCCACTGAAATGCAGCCACCTCTGGGGTGGATCACAGCAGCTGTTTCGCAGCCCCACAGCATTGCTGCACACAAAGGAGCAGGGAGGGCAGTGGAATAGATCACCCCAGACCAGAACTCTGTTCCCCTGTGGGCTGAACTAACCCTGCTTCCCAGCCCAGAACATGCAAAGCAAGGCTCCAATTTGCCCAGCCAGAAGGTCAGCAGCATAGCCCAAGCAAGCAGCTGTTCCCCCATCCACCCCAAAATCCTAGGGGATGCCATGGAAGAGCTGAGCCTGCCAATGCTTCAGCCCCTGGCCCGGGTCCTCGGCAAAGGAGTAACATTGCTCACAGGCGGCAGTAGTAGGTTGTTACCCTCCTGGGTTCCAGCCAAGGGAGGGGGCAAGGTGGCATGCACTGAGTGGGCGCAGCGCAACCAGGAGCTGGGCAGCGTGGGAGGCACTTACGATTCCTTGTAGTAGACGATGAAGCTGAGCAGGTCACGGTATTCCGGGGGCCGGTAGCGTTCCCACTTCAGGAAGATGCGGTCGGACTCGGTGATGTTGGAGACGAAGCGCAGCGTCTGGGTCTTGCCTGCGATGGAAGCGGAGCACATGGGGAGGGCTGCAGGAAGTGGGGACTCTGGGGAACGCGGGGGGCTGCGGGTCACTCGTGGAGGCTGGGCAACAGGGATCTGAGGAGAGCTCAGGGGAGGCTGTGGGGAACAGGGCCTTAGGGGAACGGTACCTAAGGGCAGTTTGAGGGGGCTGCGGAAACAGGCCTAAGGGGAAAGCTACGAGCGGGGAGCTGTGGGAAATGGGGCCTGAGAGGTGTTTGGGGTGGGGGCTGCGGGAAGAGCTCTGGGAAGGGGCTATGGGGAGTTTGTGGGGGCTGTGGGGAATGGGCTTGAGGGGAATTTGGGAGGCTGTGGGGAACGGGGCCTGAGGGGAGCTTGGGGGAGCTGTGGGGAGGGGGCTTCAGGGAAATTTGGGGGGCTGTGTGGAGCGGGTCACTGTGGAGCTCGGGGGTGGGAGGGGCTGTGCGGAATGAGCCAAAGGGGAGAGCTCTGACAGAGGGGCTGTGGGGAATGGGGCCTGAGGGGAGCTTGGGGGTTGTGGGACATGGGTCCGGGATAGTTTGGGGGGCTGTAGGGAACAGGGCCTGAGGTGAGGTTGGGGGTTGTGGGACACGGGTCCGGGATAGTTTGGGGGGCTGCAGGGAATGAGGCATGGGAGGAGTTTGCAGAGCTCTGTAGAGGGGAGAGCTCTGACAGAGGGGCTGTGGGGAATGGGGCCTGAGGGGAGCTTGGGGGTTGTGGGACATGGGTCCGGGATAGTTTGGGGGGCTGTAGGGAACAGGGCCTGAGGTGAGGTTGGGGGTTGTGGGACACGGGTCCGGGATAGTTTGGGGGGCTGCAGGGAATGAGGCATGGGAGGAGTTTGCAGAGCTCTGTAGAGCGGGGCTTGCATGGGAATTTGAGGGATGGTGTTGGAATGGGGCCTGTGGGGAATTTGGGGGGGCCATGTGGAACGGGACAGCTGTGAAGGGGAGGCTGTACAAGTGGAGTCTAGGGAGTGAGGGACTACGGGATGTGAGACCCAGGGAGAGTTTCCTAACAGTTTTGTGCAGCCCCTCACAGGGAAAACCCCCACGCAGGTCTGCTCCAAAGCCCAGCGCAGCGGTGGGAAAGGCTCCCCCTTGGAACAGGCTTTTCCCCTCCAATCACTGCACACATGCAGCCCCCCACCTGGAAACCCAGCCTCCGGGCCAACAGGCTGCCTGTGGGGTACAAGGACCCCCCGGGGGGCATCTCATTCCTTCTAGCGCACCAACAATCCGTACTGAACCTTTGTGCTACACTGCTCATCACAACCCCAGCAGGACAAACGGACGGCCCATGTGCACCACCATGTTCGTAAGGTCTGAGATGGGGGGCTGGTCACCAGAAGGCAATGATGACCCAGTTTCTTTCAGGCAGACGACGTTTACCCGGCTGGCGAGGGCTAAGCATGACTTGAGTGCCGTACGGTACTGAGTGGGTGCCCATGGGCAGCGTGAGCCAGCAGCTAGAGCAGGGAACATATCGGTACAGAGACATACCCTGCACCCTTCTGCTAGAAAACAAGCTGACGGTGGCCAAGACCGTCTGGGAGATGCTGGCGAGACGTAGGAGTGAGGGCCAGTGTTCCCTCTTAAGTTTTTTCATCCTTGTGTGGAATAAATTTTTTTCTATGCACCAAAGCATGTGCACTACCAATAGAAACACCTGCTGCCAGCTGTGGGCACCCTGATAACAACTGGATGGCACCTGAATCTCTCCTGGGCGGCTGCCCAAACGCTCAGCTTACAGGGAATGCCAGCGAGGCCTGACCTTCACAGGGCAAGGCGCTGGCTTGTTAATGAAGAGTGGGCTCTGGACAGCATGTTGCAATTTGGTTTCTGGCCCTGCTGCTGGCTCCTCCTGGCCTCACAATTCTCTGCGAAATGTTTGTACTAGAAACAAAGCTGAGTGCTGCAGGTGAAGTGGAGCTGTGGTTTGAGGAATACTGGGGAGGGAGGGGCGTGTTCTGGGAAATCTGGGAGCATCCAGGCTGGAATCTGGGGGTCCCCAGAGGGGCGGGGGCCTGCAGAGGCCCGGTGCTGCCGGAGACTTGCAGTGTGGGGAAGGTGACCCCTGGCCAGCACAGTCCTGGCTGCCTCCTGCTAAGCGGAGGGAGGTAGCGTGGGGCTCACAGCCCACTTCCCCATGCTTGGCCTCTCTGTACAGACCTCCAAGGAGAAAGGAGCTGGGGAATGCTGAGACCCACCCAACTCATGTCACCCAGGAGTGTGCAGCTCTGGCTCACCAACCAATGGCTGGAGAGGGAGCTGTTCTTGGAGTCCATCCCGCCCTGGACAGGGGCTGCAGGGTGGCTCCCAAAAGCAGCATGGGGCTCTCAGCACCCACCCCACTGGATGCTGTGGGGCTTCCCCACTCCCCAGGCTGCAGGGTGGTTCCGAGGTCCTAGCTGGGCGCCCGGCACTCACAGGAGGCCCTGTCCCCGTTCGTGCGGGGGTTGATCTCCGCCTTGTTCTGCCGGCCCTTGGTGCCCGTCACCTCCTCCATGCGGTAGATCTCGGAGAGGCAGAGCTTGGGGTTGAAGGCGAAATACACCTTCCCCACGGGGATGGAGAGCGTGTGGTGGCCCCAGTCCCAGAGCTGCTGCAAATTCTGGTTGTCCAGGACGTAGAGGGTGTAATTCCTGTGGGCGGAGGGAGAGGCGGCTGGAATCACACGGCGAGGACTGATGCGGCAAACCAGGGGGTTCACGCAAACCCACCACCATGGGCAGGCCCAAACGCACACACCGCGCTTTCACAGGCACACAAGACAGGCTCTCGCACACACAAGTGTGCACGCACGCCCAGACACACACACCCCTCTGTGAGACAGAGGCACAAATTCCGCCTCTAGGAGTGTACACACATGCCTGACCACGCACTGATGTCTCACACACCCATGAGACAAATGCACACACACACACACGTGCACACATGCCTAAACACACCCACACGAGACAGGTACACACACGCACAGAGAGACGTGTGCACATGTGCCCAAACACACACCCTGCTCGCTCACACCGACACAAGACAGATGCGCACACAGACACCTAAGAGTGTGCACACACTGCCAAACAAACACACGACTCTTGCTCTCGCTCATGCACACACACATAAGAGAGGCACACAAACACCCCCAGAGGTGCATTCATAGCCCACTGAAGCACACAGACAGCACACACACCCGGGTCTCTGCCAAGCTTCAGCCCCCAGACCTAGAGGTGCACCCTTAACCCAGACACATGCACACACAAAGGTGCGGTCGTGTGTGCACGAATGTGGCAGCCTCCTTACACGGAAGCACATGAACGCACGACACAGATCCCCACGCCCCCATGCCGAGGTCTCTCCCATGTGCGCACCCAGATCTCTCTTTCTCCATGCTGGATGAGGATGCAAGCTGTGTTTTCCAAACAAGGGATCTATTGCCCTGGGCAGCTGTTCCCCAGACATGATATCTCCTACCCTCTGCCATGCCAGAGGAAGGGGCCACTTCTCCACAGATGGAGACGCAGCTGGACTAATGCCAGAATGAGAGCCATCAGAAGGCCAGCTGGCAGGGGAATCCAGATCACTCTACCATGTGCTGACCAGTGTTAAGGAGGTGAGTGACTGAAGGGATCAAGAGTGGAGCAGCAGCTACCCCTTGGCTCCAGGCACCCTCTCCCCGGGCTTCTCACCCGTCCACCATGGAGTCTCCCCGGATGAGCTTGAGGTTCTTGAAGAAGGACAAGGAGACGAGGGCGAAGGAGTGCTTGATCTTCAGGAAGCCCGTGATGGTCTCAATGAGTCCTAAGCTGCTTTGCAGCTCCGAGGCCAGGTTGGCTGGAAGGGGACAGGGGAAAGCTCCTAACGCACGGCCACCCAGGCGAGTCCCCATGTGAAACGCCAGGTGGAGAGGCTGGGGGGCTGAATGGGATGTGCACAGAAATCTGGGTGCTTCTTGTGACATTCTATCTCTGGGGAAGCGCCCTGCAATCCCCATGTTCCTCATGTGTATAGCGTTGTAATCTTGTACATGAAGCACACTATGCAAGGTATCGGGGGAAGGATATGATTTGCTGAAAGTCACTGTCCTGTCTCAACGGGCATATTTCCAGTGCACGGGAAGTTCTGAGATCGCGTTGGACGCTATGTCTAGACTACATCCCTCTTTCGAAAAGAGAGATGTAAATTAGGAAGACTGAAAGTGCAAATGAAGTGGGGATTTAAATATCCCACGCTCCATTTGCATAATGGTGTCTGAGCACTCTTTTGAAAAAGGGGTTTTCAAAAATGAAAGCGCCGTCTAGATGCGGTTCTTTTGGAAAAAAAAACATTTTCGAAAGATCCGGTACTCCTGAAAAAATGAAATAAATCCCCACTTCATTTGCACTTTCGATTTGCCTAATTTACATCCCTCTTTCAACAGAGGGATGTAGTTTAGAGATACCCAGAGGGTTGCCAATAAAACACACTGTGAGCTGGGGAACCGGCCAGATGTTCACTCCCCTGAGACAAACATCAAGGAAAGCAACCAACAGGGCGGGTGTTCAATGACCCTCAGAAGCCATTGTCCAGCACAAGAATGATAATTCAGTGACCCACGAACACGAGGCCACACTTAAGGAATTGCTCAACCTTGCCCGGGGATTCATCAATGCCCCCAGACATGGTGCTCTCCAAGCACATAGACTAAGGGTATAAATCAGGCCCCAAGCTTGGCCTTTTTCTCCTCCCTCCCTCCTAGGTTGCAAGCAACAAGGACATTCAGAAGAGTTAAGATTCCAAAAGAGGAGGCTGGCCCAGGTTTCAAGGGTGAAACTTGTGAGCCCATGAACTGCAGTAGCCGGTAGGTGAGAAAAGCTGCTGCATCTACTACAGAGGTGGGCAATAATTTTTGGAGGGGAGCCACTTCATTAATTGTGAGTAGTGGTTGCGGGCCGGCTCCTAGGGTTGCCAGCTGGTTTGACAAAAAATACCGCCCCTTCCTCCCCCCAAAAAACACCAGGAAAAAATTCTTTTGAGAAAAAAAAGGGGGGAGACCAAAGTTGTGAAGAAAAAAAAAAAAGCACTGTGCCTTTAAATAGCCCCACGCTCCTCACGCCCCCATCCCCACCAGATGCAGCAGGGGAAAATTGTCCCCGCCAGGCTTCCATCTGAGGCAAACAAGTATTTTCTGGGTTTTTTTACCGGACAAGGGATCAGAATAATGGACAGTCCCGGCAAAAACCGGACACCTGGCAACCCTACCGGCTCCACCTCTGGAAAGGGCGGGGCCTTAGGCGGAAGGGCTGGTTCCCTCTAGGCACCGTGCACCCTCGAGGGAGAAGGAGACTTTGCACGCTCCCGCGCCCCCAGGCCAATTGAGACCCGGGGGCAGGAGAGTGTGTGAAGTCGTTTGCTGTTCAAAATGGCTGGTGGTTCTGTCTAGGCACCACATGCCCCTGGCAGGGGGGGGGAGTCGCCAGCTGCTTTGAACAGCGAATAACTTTGCACACTCCCCCCATCCCCGGGGTCTCAGTTGACCCGGGGTGGAGATAAGCGAGGCTGGGTCAAATGACTTGGCACCAGTGGGCCGGGGCCGGCCCGTGGGCCATATTTTGCCCACCCCGATCTAATAGGATTGAGAAATTTTCTTATCTTTTGGTAACTCTCCGACGTTTTGCCCATCACTGCTAATCACTTAAATTCCACCTTTTGTTGTCCCTACCTTGGGTTTACGGCTGATCTTTACCCGTGAGTCTGCCTGACGTGTTTGGCAATCCTGCTCAGGTTTACAAAGGCTGGCGTGTACCCCCATTTTCCACGGATGAAGCGGTGAGCCCAGGAATAAACCGTGTGCTGCTCGTCCTGAGCCGGTCCATTCCTGCGGTCCGAGGGTGGGAGTTGCGGGGGTTTGGCGGGAGCCTTTCTCTGGGTGACTGGGGGGTGCTGGAATCATGCGTGCAGTCTAGAGGGGAGCGGGGCGCCCCATGCGGCCGTGCTGAGTAATCACCGCGCCTGGAGGGGTTTGCTGCTTATCACTAGCCGTGGGAGAGAGAGCCCCGGCTGGAGAGACGCGGGAGCACGGTGGTTCCCACAGTTCCAGGCTGCACTCTGGGGATCCCATCAGAACTCCCACGGATATCCATGCCCCTCGGGGCACGTCAGCGCCCCCGGCAGCACCCCTGCACTCAGGGCGAGGCCGTGGAGGGCCGCGCACGAACCAGCTCATGCGACCCCCGTTACCAGGGCCAGTCCGTTCGTACGACCTGCGTCGGTGTCTAGAGCAGGTGGCTGCTGGGTTCTGCTCCCAACCCAGACCCTGCATCTTGGCCTCGCTGCTGAGGCTGCAGCCAGCGGGCAGAGGAGCCTTTCCTGGCGGGACGTGATGGGAAGTGGGTCTGGCGCCCAGCCAACACACATCACCCACGGGTGTCAGCTAAAGGGGATGGGTCCTGCAGACCCTGCCCGGTCACCCCTGAGCCGCGCAGCTACCCCACAAGTGGAGACCCAGCAGGCTGGCTACAGAACGGCGGGATAGATGCGGAAGCCCCGCTGGTGTGTCTCAGGGCCGGGAGCTCACCCAGCGGGAGGAAGGCGGGGGGCTGGCCTGTCTCACGACACTCACAGCCCCTGCGGATGTTAATGATCAGGTTGCCCTCGACGTAGGTGCAGCCAGCCAGCTCCTGCGCCGCGCGGGTCGAGTCGATGGTCTTGGTGCCCACTTTGCACTCCTTGGGGCACAGCCCCTCGCACTTGTGGCAGAAGATGCTGGGGAGGAGGGAGAGAGGCAGGTGCAAATTTGTTACCACCCCAGTGCTCTGGGTACCCCGAGCTGGGCAATTCCATATGGGGGGGGGAGGGTCACTACAGGGGCAGGCGGGATGTGGGAGGGTCATTGTGGGGACAGGTGGGATGTGGACGGTCACTGGGGGGCAGGTGGGATGTGGGGAGATCACTGCGGGGGCGGGCAGGATGGGGTGTCACCGTGGGAAAGGCGGGATGTGGGGGGTCACTGCGGGGGCAGGCGGGATGCAGGGTCACTGTGGGAAAGGTGGGATGTGGGGAGATCACTGCGGGGGCGGGCAGGATGGGGTGTCACCGTGGGAAAGGCGGGATGTGGGGGGTCACTGCGGGGGCAGGCGGGATGCAGGGTCACTGTGGGAAAGGTGGGATGTGGGGAGATCACTGCGGGGGCGGGCAGGATGGGGTGTCACCGTGGGAAAGGCGGGATGTGGGGGGTCACTGCGGGGGCAGGCGAGATGCAGGGGGTCACTGCGGGGGCAGGGGGTCACTGCATAGGGGGTGGAATGCGGGGCAAGGGGCCATGGCTGAGCCTCAGCCGCCAGGAAGAGCCGCTCACCTGCTGTCGTTGCGGGTGTACCCCGAGGGGCACTCGGACAGGCACCCCTCCTTGTGGATGACGAACTCGGAGGCCTCGCGGGGGTTCTCGGACACCTTGCGCAGGCTGGCGCAGTACTCGGCCGTCACGCAGCGCCAGCTCTCGTAGCGGTAGGTGCGGGCCGGGCAGGAGGGCAGGCAGTGCCCGTTGAAGTAGAAGCGGCGGCAGGCCACGCAGGACCGGCTGTCCCACGGCCGGCTGCAGCCTCCCAGGCACTCGGGGTGGCAGCACTCCCCGCCGGCGGTGCACGCGATTCCCTCGCCACAGGGACACACTGGGGTCAGGAGACAGAGAGCGACGAGAGGTTGGTTCATTCTCCCCCCCCCCACACACATACACCCCTCTCCTCCCACGAGTGCCACATCCCGGTCCCAGCTCTCCGGGGCTTTGCTCTGAGGTGGAGCTACCCCAAAGGCAGCCAACACAGAGATCCCTGCCTGAGTGTGCCGAGAGCCTACGGCCTTTGCTCAGAGAGGGGCAGAGCTGCCCCCCATTCCTCTCAATAGCACCTCAGCTCCAAGCCTCTCTGCTCTGGGCCCTGCTAAACCCACCTCAGCAAGGGGCTCTCAGTGGGGCAGGAGGGAAGGAATGCATCAGGCCTGCCCCCCTCATTCTCGGGGGGTCAGGAGTGAGGGGTCACTCTGTGGAAGGCCGATTTCCCTGCCACTCCCTCCTGCTGTCCGGACAGGGGACAGAAAACGCCTCGCCACTCCAAAGGGGCAGGACCCCAATGTAGGGTGGGGCTGATATATGTCTCAATTCTGTCCTCATCCCCACCCTGGTTCCCTTCCATTCGTCCCCACACTATTCACTTTTTGGGGATGAATCCCTCCCATCACTCTACATGGCTGCCTCCTAAGGACAACTGGCAAAAGCTCCCATTTGCCGCTAAAGGTCAAGCTTCCTTGGTCAGACTACATCTCCCATGATGCTCCCTTTGGATGAAGCAAGGCATCATGGGAGTGGTATGGCTGCAGAGCATGATGGGAGATGAAGTCCAACTGGGGAACCCAGCTCTGAGCGGAGAATGGGAGCATGACGCACCCAAATAACAACTCCCATGAGGTACCACAGCAGCAAAATGTTTAGATTTTCAGCCAAAATATTTAGATTTCCCACTGACGTATTTCTGGTTTTGTGCGTTCACATTTTTCAATGAAAAAAACAAAAATTACCACTGGAAGCAAGGCACTTTTCATGACAACAACAAAAACAAGTCTAGTTAAAAGCCCAATTTTTCATGGAAAAAGTTTTGATGCAAATTTTCAACCCACCCTAGTGAGGGTTCTGCCCCTAACACTGTCACCAACTCCACGAGTGAATCCCATAGGGAAACTGAGGCAAAGAGCTTATCACCCAAATGCTTTTGCTTATCATGAAAGTTTGCACGAGATGTAACGCTGTTTCAAGGGTACAACTTCCACCAGTGGCCAACTTTTCTGCCACCTCATTACAGGATTACTCAGCATCTCGGCAAATTGACTGCAATCCAGAGTGGAAAAGCACCAGTGGGCAAGATTCCCTCGGAATTTTTCCTTCCATGTGCGGAATACATTTTATTATGTGCACCAAGGCATGTAGGATGTGCACCACCAGGAGAAACGAACTCTACCAGCTGTGGGCACTCTGCTGATCACCTGGGTCATGCTGAGTCTCTCCTGGGCAGCTGCCCAAGCACTCAGCTTACAGGGAACACTGTCTGGGGTCAAACTGGGACAAAGGGGAGATTTGTCTAAAAGAAAAAGGGAACATTCACCTGTCGGAAAGGCCCAGGCTGGCCGATTGGTGTTTCACATGGTGGGGGTGAGGAAAGGGCTGAGAAAAGAGAAAGAGGCAGAGAGAGGGAGACTTTGCTGTTCTGGACAGGTACATGTAGATTGCCATCAGAACACACTTGCTCTCCCAGCTGCCTAGATGCAGGGAGGTGGTGCACTGGTGCTGCGGGTTGCATGGGGATGGGTTCAAACTCTGTAGCAGCTCTCATGCTAGTGCCAGAGGAAGGGTGGGGTCTAGTCTCCGCTTTCCCACTAAACAGGTCCTGGGCACGTCATTTTGCCCTCTCTCTTCTTCATCTCCCCAGTCTGGAACACAGGGCAGGTCATGGCAGGTGTGCCAAGAGCAATGCTTCCTCTATTTTTAATCCACACGTGGAATAAATTTTGTTCTGTGCACCAGGGGAGGTGCTGAGGTGCACCACCAGGAGACACATGCTGGCAGCGGTGCGCACTCTGCTAATCAGGTGGGCAACAGTGGAATCTCACCTGGGCATTCGGCCAAGCGCTCAGCTTACTGGCCATGAGACTATTACACATGTGATGTTAAGACAGGGCCTCACATGCATAATAGTCACTGGGTTTGGATGAAGCATCTGAGCTTCCCAGCCCTGGGACAAGAAGGGGTGGGTACTGGGCCCAGCTGGCCAAAGGTTACACGAGGGACTTTTTTGTTTCTATTGTTGAAGCAGCGGTACCTGGATGATGGAATTGGAGGGGTGTGTGTGGGGACTGATGGATCAAGAGGGGTGTTTGGGGATTGATGGAAGGAGGGAGGGGAGGGAGAAAGAGGTGTGTATGAGGAGTGAGGGAAGGAGGGAGGGATGTGTATACAGATGGATGGAGGAGTTTCGGGGAGATGGAGGGAGGGGTGTGTATAGGACGAAAGGACAGGAGAGAGAAAGGGAGAGAGACAAATGGAGAGATGCATGGCGGGATGGATGGATGGACACGGAGGGAGGGAGACAGATAAACTGATCATTCCCCGGTGGTACCGCAGTCCCTGCTCTGCTCTGTGCTCTGTGGCTCCCTGGCGAAGCCAGCGGAGGGAACAGGGCAGCCAAAGGCGCAGCCCTGTCCCCGCAGCACTGCAGCAGCTGGTTACAGCACTGATAAGGATCTGTGTTTACAGTGTATATTTCATTACCAGGCCTCCTGTTTACAGCAAACGAGCCCGGGTGGGTCCCGTATTTACCCCACCGCTGGGAAAACACAGCAGCTGGGAGCTGGCCTCTCCTCAGCAGGATGATACAAAGCAGTTCCTATTACCGCCCAGGCTGCGCCCGGCGAGAGGCGCCCCGGCTGCGCGGAGACATGGCCCGGTCCCAACGCCCCTCTCAGCAGAGACAACCGGGCCTGTCTACTGGGACACCTAGGCAGCAACACCAGGGCAGGGGATCTCCGCTGGGGTGTAGACCAGTGCAACAATATACCCCTGCTGACATACCCTGGTACAGAGACCTCCAGGCTGCAAGAAAAGGGTGAGCGCGAAAATCTTACCGCTCTGTATGACACCAGCCAGCTGGTTAAACCGGACCTGCTAGGTCATTAGAAGCGGGGATATTTTTCACAGGCATCTAACCCCCTTAGGTCTGTAATGCCCTTTGGCTTTCAGGTCCCTTAGGACTCCAGGGGAAAACTCAGTCCTCCTGTAACCCCTGCGTGGCGGTTCAGTCTCAGATTCCCATTTTGCCAGTGATTGATTCTCCATCGTGAACACACACACAGATTGTTTAAAGCCTCTGTGACAAGAATCCCTGTCTAGTTTAACACTTTGGGTATGTCTACACTACCCCCCTCGTTCGAACTAGGGTGGTTAATGTAGGCAACCGAAGTTGCAAATGAAGCCCGGGATTTGAATTTCCCGGGCTTCATTTGCATCTTGCCGGGCGCCGCCATTTTTAAATCCCCGCTAGTTCGGACTCCGTGCCCACGGCTACACGTGGCACGGACTAGGTAGTTCGGATTAGGCTCTGTATTCTGAACTACCGTTACTCCTCGTGGAACGAGGTGTACCGGTAGTTCGGAATAGGAAGCCTAATCTGAACTACCTAGTCCGTGCCGCGTGTAGCCGCGGGCACAGAGTCCGAACTAGTGGGGATTTAAAAATGGCGGCGCCCGGCAACATGCAAATGAAGCCCAGGAAAGTCAAATCCCGGGCTTCATTTTAAACTTCAGTTGCCTACATTAACCACCCTAGTTCGAACTAGGGTGGTAGTGTAGACATACCCTTAGAGAGGGCAGTTTAGCAAGAGAAATGGAAAACATCCCACCTCTAGGCCCATTCCAGGTCATTAGATGCTGATGGCTAAGGGTATGTCTACACTACCACCCTAGTTCGAACTAGGGTGGTAGTGTAGACATACCCTTAGAGAGGGCAGTTTAGCAAGAGAAATGGAAAACATCCCACCTCTAGGCCCATTCCAGGTCATTAGATGCTGATGGTTCCTTCAAATGGAAGGGGCAAGAGAAGGGAGAGGTGGACTAGCAACTAGACAGATGGTCGAATGATTATAGGCACGTTAGACCACTTGTTGGTGTTTGCGGTGCGCAGCGCAGCTATGAAATTGCAATGTTTTCTGGGTACTGCCCTTTCCTAACGTCTAAGAAGCAGATATTGTGTTCTGCAGATTGTTACCAGATGAGACGCTCACACACAGGCTGTGCTCTCCCCCAAGAGACTTTACTATTGTTCTTTCTTGCCATGGGTTTTGCCCCTTGATCGAAAAACAAAGTCACGTGAGGCCGACAGTTAATACTTTGCCCCTCGGCTTCTGCAAACAGTGCCCAAGGCAAATCTTTGCCTCTCTGTTTCTGCAAACGGCCCTTTTCTGAGTTGCTCAACACAGCTCTTCCACCAAACCTTGGCAAGCTCTCTTCCTTGCTTTTTGCAGAGACTGTTTTTAATTCTTTTCCCTCCACTGGCCATGGAACTGCATGTGCCCCGGAAGATGACACATGGTGGAAGGATACCAACAATAGTGCCAGAGACATTTAAATAAACAAACTACTCAATTTCTAAAAATAGATGTCCTCTAAAATGTGCAACACCAACAGAACGTATGAAGGTGTGGTCAGTGCAGGATGTGCAAAGAGGATCATTCACGCCGGACTCACTGGGTGAAGGCCTGTGGCACGCAGAAACCAAACTCAATGAGAACTGTCGTCTAGCAACGCCTAGATTTTAAGACTAGGGTCCATCTAACCCAGTATCCTGTCTTTCACAGTGGCCAGCACCAGATGCTTGAAGGTCCAAGAAATTCACTAATGGACAGCAGAGGTGTAACCTGTTCATGTGTGAATTTTCTTTACCCTCTCAGCTAGTGACTGGCCAACATGACAGTTTACATCCCTTGTGCATTTTTATCCTCTCTCCTGTAATCACGGAAACATCCATTAACATAAGAACATAAGAACGACCATACAGGGTCAGACTAAAGGTCCAGCTAGTCCAGTATCCTGTCTGCCAACAGTGGCCAATGCCAGATGCCCAGAGGGAGTG